GCTGCGTCCCTTTTTCCCTCACAGATTTTTTTTCACAATAAGTGCCTCAAATGTCTGATTCCATCCTCAGGGCCTGCTCTCTCTGCACACAGACTAATGCAATAGTATAGTTCAGTCTTCCAAAACTTCTGCAGCCAATTTGTTCTGTCAGTTACTGTGAGAAGAGTGTTGAAATCTCCAAAATTAAAGTTTGCGTGGTTCATCTTTCTCCACTTAGTTTCAACTCATCTGTGCCTTTAAATCTAAAGTGCATTTCATGTTGATAGCATAAATTTGGGTCTTTTTTATTTTTTATTTTTATTTTACTTTTTGGGGGTCTTACTTTTTTTTTTTGTCTTTTTTAATCCAGTTTAACAATCTCTACCTTCTAATTGGCATATTTAGGCCACTTATATATTTAATGTCCTTATTGAGATGGTTTAAGTCAGGGTTTTTCAACCTGACATTATTGGCACTTTGGTTTAGGGGTGTTGTCCTATGTGTTGTAGAATGTTTAGCAACATCCCTGGCGTTAAACCACATTTTGTTATGATATCCTTTTTAAAACCTCCTGTATTTTAGTAATATTTTGTTCAAATTTTTTTTGTGTCTGTATTCATGGAGGGATATTGGCCTGTAGCTTTCTTATGATGTTTTTATCTGGCCTTTCTCATTATGCATGTAACTGTTTAGTAGTTTCATTCTACATTTAACTACTCAAGTTGGATGTTATTATTATTATATTTCATAACCACTGTTTAGATTTCCTCACAGCTTTACCAGCGTCTTCCCTTGCCATCCCTCGTTACATCTCATTTCCTTTGCAGCCACTTTCCTTCTTGCTGGAGTAGCTCTTGTGTTGAAGTCTATTGGTGGTACTTCAAAGTGCAAAATCAAGTTCTCTTGCTTTTTTGTTTGTCTGACTGTCTGCCATTGTTTGTTGCCATGCCACATGGCTTGCAGGGATCTTAGTTCTTTGACCAGGAGTTGAACCGGGGTCAGTTGTGCCGAATCCTAACCACTGGCCTGCCAGAGAATTCCTGTTGTCTTTGACTTTGAATTGTTTAGAAAGACATACTCTTCAAAGCTATCAGTTCTGTCTCTTAGCACTTTGAGAATGATACTCTCCTGTCTTCAGGACTCCTTTGTTGAGACATCTTTTATTAATAATTATTCGTAGTTATTTGCCTTTTTTCTCTGACATATGAATATCTCATTACTTCTGAGGTTTTATTGTTTCATTACAAGATATGTATGTGTGTATTTCTTTTCATGAATCTTGTTCAAAGCTTGTGTTTCTGAGGATACAGGCCTTTCCTTAGTTTTGGGTAATTTTTAGCCCTTATCTCTGAAGACACTGCCTTCTCTAATCCTATTTTATTTTCTTCTGGAATCCCAATTAGACGTAGGTTGGACTTTTGCATTCTATCCTCTATGACTCTCAACTTCTCTTTCTTCATTTATATCTTTGCCTCACAGATCTGTCATCTAACTCAGGGATTTTTCTTTCAGCTGTGACTCGTGCTTTTTAATCTGCCACTGAGATTTTAAATTCTTTTGATTCTTTTTCATATATATTTAATTATTTATGATAGTGGTTTGCTCTTATGTTTCAGTTTCCTTTATATTCACTGAAAATTTTAAAGCCTTTTTTGTTATTGAAGTATAGTTGATTTATTTTTTTTTATTTTTAATTAAAAAAAAATTTTTTTTTTTGTATAGTTGATTTATCGTTTCGTGTGTATAGCAAAGTGACTGAGTTACATACTCTTTCAGACCCTTTCTCACTGTAGGTTGTTACAAGGTGTTGAATATAGCTCCCTGTGCTACACAGTAGGTCTTTGTGTATTGTTTTATATGTAGTAGCATATATCTGCTAATCCCAAATTTCCAATCTGTCCTTCCCCTTAAGCATATTTCCACGGTTCTGGTTCCCCTCCGTCCGCATGGAATCACTGGAGCTGGGGTGAGGGCTTGTCAGGCTCTGTCAGCGCCTCTCCAGCTGAGCCCCCTCGTGGGCCTGTTTCCCTGCTCATCTCTAGCTGTGAGCCGCGTGGCTGGTCCTGGCACGTGAGGCTCCTGCGGGGCCTGGGCTGAGACGGGGTCCCCAGAGGTGGTGCTCATGGCCCCTCTGCCAGGCCCCTCGAAGTGTCAGACGAGGAAGCGTGTCAGAGCAGCTGCCTGCGTGGAGCTTTCGAGTGGGAAGGGAGAGGAACTCCACACCCCAGTGCTGGATGGGACAGGCTTGTGGTTACGGGTGCTCAGGGACTGTTCTTCTTCACTCCGGCCAGTGCCCTGAGGTACAAGACTGAGGTCCTTGTCGGCTCTGTTTGCCAGCAAATTGATTTTTCCTTAGTTCACACTTTCGCTGAGCGTTAGGTCTTCACGGGTTCTGGCTTTACAGGGAGGTCAGGTCCAGCTCCCCACCTCGTCTGGACCGAAGCCTTTTTCTCATTAACCCCGCTCACTGAGGAATCCCGGGTCTGGGTGTTGGCTGGATCACTGGGTAGCCTGTGGCTTCGGAGCTGGCTTCTGTTCTGTTCTGGCTTCTGTTCTGGTTTGACAGGACTCTCTTTGGTTTCGGCTCTTGTAGATTTTCTTTTTCTTTTTCCATTTATTTTTATTAGTTGGAGGCTAATTACTTTACAGTATTGTAGTGGTTTTTGCCATACATTGACATGAATCGGCCATGGATTTACATGTGTTCCCCATCCTGAATCCCCCTCCCACCTCCCTCCCCATCCCATCCCTCTGGGTCATCCCAGTGCACCAGCCCCGAGCACTTGTCTCCTGCATCCACCCTGGACTGGCGATCTGTTTCACACTTGATAACATATATGTTTCGATGCTGTTCTCTCAGATCATCCCACCCTCGCCTTCTCCCATATAGATTTTCTTTACTTTATAGAGATCAGCTGCCCATTTCAGAAAGTGCTTTATGTGTCTTATTCAGCATTTCTAGGTGTTTGGAGGGGAATGTTTTCCAGAACAGCTAGAGTGTTATCCTGTCAAAAGTTGAAACTTCATATTTTGTTTCTATCTGAAGTATAGTTGGGTATGATAGTCTGATTCTTTGGATGTTTTGGTTCTTACGTCAAGAATGATGACATTTATTAGTAATCATATTAAAGAATGTTAAGTCAAGCTTGGTACATTGGTTTATTAAAAGCATGTTTACAGGCATTGCAGTTTCCAGCCCATCTGAGCAATGATTTTCATTTTGAAGACATTCATTCAGAAAAATTACACAGCTGTTCTGATTTTGTGCTACGACATGGCAAGATCTCCAATGAGCGATTTTGATTCCTGATGGATTAGCAATTTTTGTAATTACAAATTCCCAGGAAAAATATTCTTTTTTATTTTGGCCATGCCATGCAGCATGCAAGATCTTAGTTCCCCAAACAAGGATCAGACCTGCACTCCCTGCAGTGGAAGTGCAGAGTCTTAACCACCAGACCACCAGGGAAGCCCCGCTGGCATGTCAGATGATACACATGTAAGGCGTGCTGTGTCCCTTTCTTGCCTGCGAGCGGAGGTGGAGCCGTCCCTCACAGTCCCTGCCCTCCGCTCACTGTCCTGCTCCTCCTTGGCCGGCCCTGCCTCCCATGTCCACGGCCGTGGGTCTGCTAGAGCCCCGAGGCAGAGCAGGGCTTCACTCTGCAGTCACACTCAGGCAGAGTCCTGACTCGCGTCTCCCGGGCTGTGTGACCTTGTCTCACAGCCTTGGTATCACGAGGATGGTCTGAGGATCCCGGGGGGTAACGCCTGTGCAGTGCCGGCCAGGCGGCCTGGCGCAGGACGCGTGCTGCTGAGAGGCCTGTGCCCTGTCCCTCGTTGCTGCCGTCATCCTGACCAGGCCTCCCACTCGTCTCTGCTCCCCAGGTTCACCACCCTGGTGCCTGTGGAGTTGGCTACTTCTCTTGACTGGGCGCGAACTCGCTCCGCCTGAACTGGCGCAGAAAACTCCCAGCTAGTCCTCTGCCTGGGCCCCTGCCCTCCTCCTTCCAGCCTGTTCCGGTGGGCGTCCCAGTAAGGCTTCAGACTGGTACATCTGCAAAAGCAGGCGTCTTCAAGGGTCCTGCTTTTCCTTCCTGTCGCTGAAGACGTAGCTCCCTTACTCCGTGTCATGCTCTGGCACCAGGCATATTTATAGCCTGAACAGGGCCTGAAAGCAAGCTCCGGCGTGACCACCTCCGCTCGCTGAGGGCGGCTCTCTAGTGCACATCTCACTGCAGCCCCGCTCTGAGAGGCTGGGCTTTCGCCCTGCCGTGTGTTACCCCAGCAGCTGACTCAGGATCCTGAACGCAGGGGGTGCTCTCAGGTTTGGCAGATTGATTGCCATGTAAATTACTGCATCAGGGTTCAAAACGGCTTATTGAAGATCTTGCCATGTGTCTTAGCAAGGTGGAAATGGTTGTGTAATTTTTCTGAATGAGTGGTTTCAAAATTAAAAAAATGATTATTCAGGTTCATTGGAAGCCTAAAGATCTGTATTCAATGCTTGACATATGCTTTTTACTAAATGAACGTGTTAAGCCTGCATTAATGTTATTTAACATGATTATTAATGTAAGAGTCAAACACCAGGAGTAAGTTTATGAAGCGCTCTGAAGTGTGTTGTCTTGTTGACCCTCCCTCCTGCACACCTCTGTGGCACACACATCATGGGTGACAGCTGGTGGGTGACTGGTCCATGTTGAGAGAGCAGGAAGCAGAGCTTGGGAGTGGGACAGGTCTTCTGATTCCAGACTCTGCTTTCGGGGGGAACAATCTCTCTTGTCCAAGCTCCTTAGAATTCTCTTGAGAAGAGCTCAGTGGTTCACACTTTGTCATTTCAAAAATAAAGAACCTGGAAAGAAAAAGAGATATAATTATCTTTCTGAACTATATCCATTTCCCATCAGGAACGTGTATAGGCTGCTGTGGCGAGGTTTCCCGTTTCACGTCGGCACTGCCTCTCAGTTGGGAAGCGGACCCAGTGACAGGCCCATCTGACTTTAAGGCGCTTGCTCTTTCAGGGGAAAACCGAGTCCATCACGGTGGTGAAGCTGCTGAGCTGCTTCGATGACCTGGTGGCTGCAGGCACAGCCTCTGGGAGGGTTGCAGTTTTTCAGCTTGTATCCTCGTTGCCAGGGAGAAATAAACAGGTAAGTGCCAACCATTTTAGCATTTCTTAATTTCTGGGCAAATTCCTCACATCCTTTAAAATGAGAAGTCCTCATCTGCTGAGAAAGTATTTGCTCAGAAAAGCCTAACTCTGTGCTCTTCATAGTCAGATAGCATTTTGTTGCTGGTAGGACACTTGGTGAAAAGCACACATGGGTAATTTAAATTGCTTAGTAGTCTCTGGCTCCTCACTGTCAGTTTTCAAGGTAAATAGACAGATGGGTCCTTGTGCAGGGTTTTGCATGGAAAGCAGCTTGGGAACACCAGTTCCTCCACCAAACAGGAGGGATTGCATATCACCTTGTCCACACAGCTTCACCTCACAGTGTCTCTCCTTTTCTTCTTCTTGTGTGTATTTTTATCGTTTATTCATAGCTTCGGAGGTTTGACGTCACTGGCATTCACAAAAATAGCATAACAGCTCTGGCTTGGAGCCCCAATGGGATGAAACTGTTCTCTGGAGATGATAAAGGGAAAATCGTCTATTCTTCTCTGGATCTAGATCAGGTAAATCATTTTCAGAAGTATTGTTGGTCTGATACTTGGAGAAATTATAGCTGGTCAATTTGTATTCTTGAACCTTGTCCCATTTTTTCTGGCTGTGCTGGTCAGCTGTGGGATCTCAGTTCCCCAACCAGGGATTGAACCCAGGCCTCGTGAGTGAAAGCCTGGCACCCTAACCTCTAGGCCACCGGGAAACTCGCTGTTGTCCTTTCTACTCTCAGTTGTTGTTTGTAACATTTTCTTTCCAGGGCTTTCCTGACGCTTTGTAAGCTTCTACTTCTGTGTGTTAAGAATCGGCCTTTCTTTCTACTCGAACAAACACTTTTCTCATTCTCCTGTTGTCTATTGCTACCATTTAGAAAAGAAGCCACTACTGAGCCTTATTCCTTGATAGTTTGTAGAGGAGGGTATGAAACACTTCAAAGTCATGACTGTTGTCAGCTAAAAAAAAAACACAATCTAAAAGTTGAGAATTTTTTTTCGGTGGACTTCCTGAGGACTTAAGCCTGGGAGACAGTTTCAGATAACTCTGAGGGATCCTTTCAAAGAGGTGGGGAAGGAACCAGGATCTATAGGAGCTTTGAAAAAACAAACCTGATTGTTGAACATCAAGAAGTGTGCTAATTAAAGAAGAAATAAATCTCAAGTTAATGAATTTAGCACTTTTCTATATGTGGGAAGCTGCAAGAGTCTGGGCTCACTGAAATCACATTCCTTTATTTGCAGCTTAAGGGCCATTGTCCCGTGCTTTTCCATCCTGAACCCCTTCAGCTGCCTGTTGAGGGCAGCCCGCAGTGGCTGATGGCTTGATGCAGGGTAGCCTGTGTGTCTCCACCCTGAGTTCCCTGAGGGTGCGCCCTGGGGTGGGGAGAGGACAGCACTGTGGCTGATGGCTGCAACCTCCTTTGTATACTGATACGGCAGGCGGCAGTCTCGGTCCACTCTGTGGACAGCGGTTGGAGTGGGTGGTGAACTCACCCCAGCCCAACTTTGGCTGTGGGAGAATGGTGGAGGAGGAGGAGGTTTGGTGGCAGCAGGGAGCCAGCTCCACCCCTGTATTTGCTCTTTAAGCCTCTGGACAGAGCCCTAAACCTCACATTCTGATCTTCAGTTAGTAGGTAAGAAACCCAGGCTCCCCGGGGTCCAGGCACGAGGTCATGCCCAGCAGAGCTCGGCTTCAAACCGAGGGTCTGCTTCTGTTGTCTGGGTGGCTTAAGCCTGCCTGGGCTTTGTTTTTTCAGACGTCTGCCCAGTTGGAATGCACTCCTTGGTGATATGGACCTTTCGTCTTCTTATTTTTAGCCATTATTCCTTGTGCGTCCAGAAATTCAGTGATTATTAGCTGGGTAACTCTGAGTCCCTCTAATCTGACACTGACCTGTCTATCATGAATATTCTGTCACAGTAGTTCTCAAACTTTTTGGTCCCAGGACCCCTTTACACTATACCTCTGAAAAAGAGCACTCCAGAGAGGTTGTGTTTGTATGGGTTAAGTTTTTGTATATTTTTGTGAAAATAAATACTACTGAGAATTCCCTGGTGTTCAGTGGTTAGGACTCTGAGCTCTCAATACCGAGGGCCCAGATTCAATCCCTGGATGGGAAATCCCACAAACTGCAAGGTGAGGCCAAAAACAAAACATGGCACATGGGACTTGCCAGGTGGTCCAGTGTTTGAGACCCCTCGCTTCCATGCTGGAGGCCTGGGTTTGATCCCTGGTTGGGAAACTAAGATCCCACATACCTTGCCGTGTGACAGAAAAAAAAACCAAAAAACTACTACTACTTTGAAGAGTAGCATTGCTTTACGTTTTTGCAAATCTCTTTATATCTGCTCTGCCTCAACAGAAGACAGCTGGGTTCTGCATTTGGTTTGTCACAATACATTGCTTTGGTTGGGGTATATCAAGAAAATTTGGCCTCACACAGACATGTGGTGGGAAATAGGAGTGTTTTAATAGCCCTTCCAGAGAATTGTATTATGTTCTTCTTTAATCACATCCCCAAATTGACTAACGGTAGTTTCTTTAAAGGTTGGTTACAGCATGGAATCTGAAAGCATGTGGATGAATTTTTGTTGCTCTGTTACAATGAAGTCCATTGGTCTGTCTTGCACTTCATAGGACTCCTTGACTCATTTTGTGTGATTTTGTAATTCTGTAAGTTTGTGTGTTGGTCACTTGGGAAATATTGATGTACCAAATGATGCAGATCTTCCAAATGTTGATACATTTAATTTTATGATATAAAGCAAAAACACCACCTTTGTTAATATCTCCATCATTCTGATGAGAAAGGTCTTGAGCTGTTGGGAATGTCAGGTTCACAAGAGTGGGTACATTTTTTCAGATTCTGATTTTCACTTGTGAACTTGAAGATTGTCTTATTATCAGCAACAAATACCCTCACTTATTTTCCTTGAAGTGACAGATACGCTTTATTCCTTCTGAGAAAATGCCTGCCAAATACCCAACTTTGAATAATTCTAGTGTTTCAAGTAAAATGTATCTTATGGGGGAAAAAAGTTCAGCTCCCAGCTCGTACAGTTGTCCAAGTGCTCCTCCTCAAAAGAGCCACAGGACTTCAGCTTCAGCCAGAGAGCTGTGTGCAGACCTGGTTTCATCACAGAATACAAAGACAGGTGTCCCCAAGGTCAAGATTTGTTGGGATTGTCATTTTCCTGCATAATAGACCTTCTGAAGTGAAATTCACGTTTTTGCTGCACATGCCCAGTGGCTGAGAGCACCGTGACAGCTCCTGGAGTTTGGTGCCCTGCTTGCCTTGGGGTCCCCCCACCCCGATCTTTCAGGAGCTCTGTCCACCAACAGTATGAACCACTGCTCCATGAAGAAGGCAGATAAAACCTCACATTATGATGAAAATGACTTTGACCTTGAGAGGCCCTAGGGGACCCTCGGGGACCATGGGCCACACTTTGAGAACTGCTGCTCTCCAGGAAAACATTTTGTTAAGGTTTTTCAGGATCCCGTGTTTGCACTTTCCTGCTGTCGCTCCCACAGTGAGGGTTGCACCATGGGAACACTGCTCATGCACGTCAGGAAATGGAGGGAAAACTCGCACGCAGAGAGCACTGTCCTTTTGTGGTGCTGACCCCACTCCCAGCACCGACTGTCTCTCTGTGTCTCACTGTGAGCACTGTTCCCTGAACCCATGGTAGGCAAGGCACTGGCTGAGAGGCTGGAAGAAAATGTGGGGAGCCGTAGGAACTGCAGACACACTTATTCTCTCCTAGCTGGCACAGCAGACAACATAACCTCACACAGTCCTTCAGGGCTTTTCCGGGTGAAGCGTGTTTATACTTAACCAGAGCAAAAGTAGCCTGTGGCCGGGCGAGCACCTTGTGACGCACATGCACAGTGCCTTGAGCAATCTCAGCTGTCACACAACTGCACAGTCATTGTTTACAGAACAGGGACTTAGAGAGCCTGACTGGTGCCATCTTGTTAATTTCCTCACATCTTGGCATCCTGGTCATTTGTTCCCAGCTTTATTGAGGTTCCGATCATTTTTTTAAAGCACAGGTGTTTGATGAGATTTGCAGAAAAGATGTATGGTTTTGCACAGTGAAAGTCACTCAGTCCTGTCTGACTCTTTGTGACCCCGTGGACTGTACAGTCCATGGAAGTCTCCAGGCCAGAATACTGAAGTGGGTAGCCTTTCCCTTCGCTAGGGTATCTTCCCAACCCAGGGAGTGAACCCAGGCCTCCTGAATTGCAGGTGGATTCTTTACCAGTTGAGCCACAAGGGAACCCCTCTTCACAGTACAATACAATGAATTTAATTCCATTACAAGCTAAGTCGAAAGTTAAAAAAACTGCAGTCTGTGTAAGTAAAGATGGGAAGGAACTCTGGCTTAATGTCCATGATAGTGGAGGTAACGGGAATTCCCCCCCGTCTCAGTCATGCTGGTGGTTACACACCAGTATGCATTTGTCGACATTCATAGAATCATATATCTAAAAAGGGTGACTTTTACTGTATGTAAATCTTACCAGTAAATCTGATGGCTACTCCCTTTTCCCCACAAAGGTCTACGACATTGCGTCAGTGTTTCCTAAACAATTAGAGAAAAAGGCTTTCGGAGAAGAGGGACTTACAAGAGCAGATATTGACACAAAGACATCACTTGTGTCAGCAGCAAAGTTCCACGCAGAGCTCTACTTCGCTCTTTAACATACTTAATACCGTTTCATTTCTTTCTACCTGTCTCTTCTGACCCTTTCAGTAGGCCAGGATGTAATGTCCCCAGAATTACTTTGAGCTCTGTGGAGGAGGTTGTGATATGAATTTTGATGGTTGTCACAGTAACTTTTTAGAAAGTCCCATTGTGTTCTGTTGGAATAAACAGTACACATGGTGCGACATATTTCCACTTAGATCTTTATGGATTCTTCCTTCTTTGAACCATGTTGCAGGGAAAGAGCAAATTGGCCAGGGTGGTGTGGCCATGGCCTCTCGCACTCACCCCACGAGTTGTAAACTCATGGCTGTGTGACAGCTGAGGTCATTCGCAGCACTGCGCAGGTGCAGTGGCCCATATAAGCCTCAAATGAGAAACTCAGAGGAGCGGCGAGTTGAGGTGTGTTGAGTTGCATCATCGCCGTTGCTGTTGCTTCTGTGAATGAAGGATGCCCGCGGCTCCTGTGGCTCCTCACATCTTCTGGCTTACCCGCTCGTGCCTTGCCTACCCTGGTTCAGCGAACAGGGAGGTACAGAGTGACACATGCACTGACAGCATTTTCTAACAGTCATGCAGAAGGTTTAAGTGTTTCTCGCTAACCTTGCTGCGGCCTGACACAGCTGGTGACCCTGACAGTTTTCTCGCCGGTGAGGGCTTCTCCAGGCAGTATCGTCGCGGCGGGCTGACACTGAACCCATGAGAGTGCGCGCCTTCATCCAAGGCAGCCGTGGCCGGGATGCAGACACAGGAGGGCCGGGCAGCCCTGGCGGCTGGGGCGCCGCTGGAGCCGGCCCTGCAGGCCTCACGCGCCTCTCCCCGCAGGGCGCCTGCCGCTCGCACCTGGTGCTGGAGGAGCCGGCCTCCATCGTGCAGCTGGATTACAGCCAGAAGGTGCTGCTGGTCTCCACGCTGCAGCGCAGCCTGCTGTTCCACACCGAGGAGCGCTCCGTGCGGCAGGTCGGGGCGCAGCCGCGGAAAAGGTGAGCTGCGCTGCGGCCGCGGCATGAGGGCCCGCGCTCCAGGTGGGTCCCCAGCCCCCTGCGCTGCTCCTCGCAGGCCGCTGCCTGCACAGCTCGGCCCAGAGGTCAGGGTCGGGTGGGCACTCCCGCCTCGCTCCCCCCGTGAGCCACGCCACTGTGGACGCAAGTGGCCTCAGCGCTACTGGCTGTGTCCCCTGCCGTGGAGCCTAGTGAGGGGTGTGGCCAGGATGTGGGCTGTAACCCGGGGTGGGGTGTCCTGAAGAAGGGGGGCCAGGCCTGGGGGGGGTCAGAGCTCCTGGCTGAGAGAGGACCCCTTCCGTGACCTGCTCCTGGTGGAAGAACAGCTGCAGCAGAGTCGGTCCAGCCCGTCCCCGGCAGTGGAGCTGGAGGAGCGCCGGGGAAGGAGCACTGCTCTCTGCAGAGGAAGGGGGTGGTGGACGGCAGGGGGCACGGGAGCTGGGAGGGAGTGGGGTGGGTGGATGAGCGCGGGGCTGGTGGTGCCAGCCTCTGGTCCTCTTAGCGTCCGTTATGCTGTGTCCTGGGCTTTGCAGGAACACAGTGCAAGTTTATTCCTTCTTCTGCCTGGCAGAGCAGCCCGTGGCTGTTCAGATAGTCACATCTCCCCTTTGGCTTTGCCTTTCCACGTTGAACACCCCCTTAATCCCACTGACAGTTGGTCTTTGTACAGTGATCGTCTCCCTTCCGGCTCCTGGGCAGCCCCGCAGGACCCGCTGCTCAGGCTGGGTGGTCCTGCAGACTTGGCTGGACTTTCCCTCTGCCAAGGGCCCCGCTCTCCCCCTCACGTCTCGTCCTGGCTTCTCTGTCGGTGTCTTGCTGCGTTTTGTCTTTTGGGAAGGAAGGTGGCGTGCAAAGAGAGAGACTTAAAAACCAGTTACCTTCACGCGGATTGTGTACCCAACAGTCTTTCCCTTCACACCTGGCTTTCTCACCGCCTGCGTGACGCCTCAGCACCTTCGCGTGACCCTCTCCTGGTGGGTCTGTGTGGCCAGGTGTCTGGGCACACTTGCTGGGCACTGTCTCAGATGCAGAAACAGCTAAGTGAGTCCCCTTTCTCTTAGGGAGCTGTGTTAGAGACGTGGGGGACCACAGAGTGGACAGAAACACTTCTAACCTGTGTTCTGACAGCTTGTCTCTGTCATGTGCTGTTAGATCGTGATTAGAAAAGGACCCCAACGACGACCGCCTCCTGGAGCTGTGGCTTCGGTCACCAGGCATCCCACTGGGTGGCACCCAGGGCTCAGCGGGGAGCCAGGCTCTGCCCTCGGAGATGCCGGTCTCGGCGTGGGCAGTGCTCGGAGGCAGCATCTGGGTGAAGGGTTGGGTGGGCGCGGGTAGCCAGTGGAGGCCTCTGGGGAAGAGATCCTGGGCTGAAGCCTCCAGCGTGTGAAGAGCCTTCCGGTCTCGGGAGCAGCAGGTGCCAAGGCCCTGCATTGGGCCCGGGCCTGGAATGTTCCAAGAGCCAGAGGGGAACTGGGGCGGCTGTGAAGGGCGGGTGGGTGCTGGAAAGGAAGACCCAAGCCAGTCCTTGCCCCTGAGTTATTCCAGGCAGGACGGGAAGCCAGTGGGGGCTTTAGGCAGGAGGAGGGCGGCCTGAGTGCGCCTGGTTCTGCACAGCGAGGCGGCAGCTATCAGGGTCCTGGGCGCGACGCGGAATCCACCTGGGCCCCCCGGCATGAAGAGGGGTGGGAGGGGGAGGAAAGGGTGATTTGGGGATGAATTCGATATAGGGGGCAAGGGAAGAACAGAGTAAGGAAGGATTTCTGTGCCCTTGGCTAAAGTAGCCAGATGGAAAGAGAAGCCCTTTAACTTAGCAGCCCTGGGTTAATGTCTGGATGTCTGAATTCTCTCTTGGGCGTGTTGTGTTCGAGAGGCCTGTTAGGTGGCTAAGGCGGAATCCCCACTGGGAGTAACGTGCGCAGGTCGGCAGCTCAGGAGAGGGGGCTCAGCCAGAAATGAAGATGAGGTGGTCAGATGCAGGTGACACTGAGCCCCCTGGCCTGGATGAGGTCACCTTGGGAGCATGTTTCCCATTCAACCCTGGAGGGTCCTTCTTGGGTGTCTGCTCTGCCTGGTGCCCTTTGCAGCCTGGGGAAGACCGCTCTGAGCAAGGGGGACAAGAGCTCTGGTCTTCAGGAGCTCACGTTCCTGTGGGGGAGACTGATGTTAAATAACCAGGTTCTAGAATGTTCAGCAGAAGTAATAAATGGGTGGAGCTTCGAGGATGTCTGCCTGGTTGTTTTGCGTAGGCAGACGTGTCCCCACCCTCCGGTGCGGTGGGGTCTGAGCCGATTCCTGGGAGAGGATGGGGGGAGCCAGGAGGACCCCTCAGAGGGGCGCAGGCCAGGTGTGGGGGCGCAGAGGAGGGGCTGGGAGCCCATCCATAGGCTTCATGGCCCCGCTTGGGGCTGTGTTCCTCCAGCACTGTGAGAGTCACAAGCTGTGTCGACTCTCGCCACCCTGTGGACGGGGTGAGGGCGGCCGCCACAGAGACCGCCAGGGTCCCGGGTGGCCGAGGTGAGAGTCGGGCTCACTCCAGGGCGGGGTGGCAGGGATGCTTTGAAGACAGAGCCGATGGCTTGGCTTGCTCTGGGTTGTGAGAGCAGGAGAGCCGTCGGAGGCGGTGGTCCGGGCGGTGGGTAGAGTGTCACTGTGGGCAGGGCGTGGTCTTCCTCCGGGGTCAGCCTGGGGTGGCGGGTGGGGACGTGCATGTGCTGAGGGCCGCGGGTGGCCGCAGCAGTGCCCTTGAGGGCCTCTAGACGGCATTGAGTGCTCTGGGGCCTCAGAGCTCACTGATGCGTGAGTGTCACTGGCCCCGAGCGATGCGCCCAGCTGGGCCTCCGGCTCTGGCAGCCTGGTGGCCAGGCGCCCCTCCCTTGTAGGGACTTCCCTGGGGGTCTAGTAGTTAGGACTCCGCTCTTCCACTGCAAGGGGTGCGGGTTCAATCCCTGGCCAGAGAACTAAGGTTCTACATGCCATGTGGCTTGGCCAAAAAATCCCACCTCCGTTGTGGGGCGCAGGCCGTGGCGTTGCCTCGTGCCTGAGGCAGGAGGGGTGGGCCGCACGCTGGGTGGGCGTGTGGGCCCGCCCAAGGGGAGACCAGGTGGTGGTGCAGGTCACAGCCCTGAGCCTGGGAGGGCTGCGCCGGCCTGGTTTGGCCCTAGGGCGGCGGAAGTTGTCCTGTCTGCAGGGAAGCTGGGCCCAGGGCCAGCTGCAGGGAGCGGTGGTTGATCCAGCCTGTGAACCCCCTCAGACTGAACAGAACAGCGCGTTTGTGTCTCCCAGAAGACCGCAGTGCACAGCTGTCCGCTTCTCTTCCGTGTCCGGCAGCAGGCCGTCCTGGCACTGGGTGGGTGCGGAGCCTGGGCCCCGCCCAGCCACGTTGGCCCTGGGGCAGCTCCCTCTCTGCCCTCTGGTGCCTTTGGGCGTCCAGCTGTCGAGTCTGCCATCCAGGCTGTGGCTTGTCGTCTTGTTTCCAGCTCTCTGTCTTGCTCAGTGTTATTGTACATAAATTAGAAGATCTGATTTATGGTTAGAATTTGATAACTAGAAACACTTTTTTCACGTTGGTGTGTCTCATAAAGGAAATGAAGATATTTTTTAAAGTCATCATTGATATTTCTAGAAAACAGCCCCACCAAAGTTGAGAAACTAGGTTGATTTATGATTTTAGAATCCTGCAGAGCTTTGACCTTAAAAGTTGGAGTTTTTGTGTCCGATTCAGAATGACATCAGCCAGTGCTGGGGAGTCACTCTGTGTGTGGGTGGCGGCCAATTCAGGGTGGAGGGCAGTTTGCCCTGGGCGGTATGTAGCCAGTTAGCCCTGGCTCACCACCTTCTCCCAGCCTGCTGCCGACACGTTTCAGCGGCTCCTTGGAGCAGGGCCCCCGCCTGCCATGCTCAGCTTGTCCTTCCCCAGAGGGTCATGGTCTGCTCAGTGTCCAAGGTCTAGCCTTCCACGCCCCAGGCAAAGCGTGTCGCCTTGGTCTAGAGGCCTCGAGCAGCTCTTGGAGCCGCGGAGGTGGCGCGTCGCTGACACATGTTGGCTGCAGTGTGTTACACGCCGGGGCCGAGACCTTCCTCCTGCATCTTTCACATTGCCTGCACCACAGCTTCTCACATGGTGCCGGAGCTCGCTAAACGTTGGTTAAAATGAAGGCTTTAGTCATGCCACCTGAAGTGACAGATTTTTAAGAGGACTTCTGAGTAGAAGGAAGATACTTAGATTTGGAAATTGGATCACCAAACAGAAATTGACAGGAAAGGCAGGAGAAAGAGGTTATGGGCTGCCCTGCTGGCACTCCTGTGGGCATCTCTGTTGGAGAACCTTTCCAGAACAAATCACCAAAGGCAGTAATCACCACGGTGCTGACCGTGGAGGTGCCAGAATGACCCATGGTGTCATGTTAGTCTGACGATCTTCACTTCAGAGTTGAATTGATATCGTGTCCTCCCTGGACCCTGTCCAGAGGAGTGCAGTGAGATGCTGAACCGCAGAGAAGCACCCAGCTAAGCTGGCCTGCGTGGGGTGTCCCAGGGCGCTCGGACGCCGCCCTGGGAGTCCAGGGCTGCTGTGCAGGCTGAGGTGGGGCCCGGCACCCACAGGAGCGCGATGGGAAAGGTGGAAGTCGAGGCAGTTGAGCGTTTGGGGGGCCTACCGTGTCACCGGCATTGCTTATTGTCTTGGAGTGTCATTCAGCCTCATGTCAACCTTTGAGGTGGGAGTTATCCCTGGTTTACAGATTAGGAAGCTGACCTGCACAGCGTGGAGTGACTGTCAGGGCTGTGGGACTTCCCACTTCCCTGTGGTCCAGTGGCTGAGACTCTGCACTCCCGACGAAGGGGGCCTGGGTTCAGTCCTTGGTCAGGGAACTAGATCCCGCGTGACACAAATAAGAGTTTGAATGAAGATCAGAGATCCCGCACGCTGCAACTAAAGCCTGGTGCGGCCAAGTAAGTATTAAAAAACAAGCCACAATTCCTTCTGCTGTTTAGAATCAGGGAAATACAGAGAATCAGAGGACTTAGGGTTAAACTGAACTCTTATTCTTTGAACCCTGGGAGACACAGGGGTTCGGCAGAGATATGGAGCAGCAAGAACTCCCAGGTTGCTGATGGGAGTGTGGGCTGGTGTAAACACATTGAGAAGAGTTTGAAATTGTCTTCCTGACCTGAATCTGCTCTTAATCAGCAACATGGCAGTCACGCGACAGTCCAGCAGTCCACTCTGAAATGTCCGTGACAAACTCTCAGACCTGTGTGCTAGGAGGGTATGTGCAGACGTGCTCATGGTGAGCACGATTCAAAATGAACAAGTGGAAATAATTCAAATACCCATCAACCTGAGGGTGAGTAAATCATGGAGCTCCGTATAGCAGTGAAAATGAATGAGCCACAGCGCTTTTGTCAACAAGGATAAAATCTCAGAATTATTAGGTTAAAAGCAAGTTGCAAAAGACGACAAATAGCATCGTACTTTGTAGTACAAATGACAGACAAAAGTATGTCTATACCAAAGTATGTAGTGTTTAGGAGTACGTAGGTATGTGGTTAAACTTTTGATAGAAGCAAGGGAGTAATAAACACAGAATTCAGTGTAGGACTCACACCTGGGGCCCGGAGGGGCAGGGACCTTTGAAGCAGGAGAACATCAATGATATAGCTGTTGACTTTATTTCCAAAGCTGAGGGACAGGGTCCTGGGTGTATATTTTGTTATTTATTTGTTTTAGATATTTCATGGTACTAAACATAGGAAAACAAAAAACACACCACGCCTGAGGATCAGAATGGAGATTGTGGGTTTAAGAGAAATTCTGAAAGGGCTGCCCCAGTTCTGGGCCTGAAGCACGTTTCCTGGGGTGCTGGGCTGAACACAGCAGCGGGTGTGGGAAGGAGCAGACTTTGAGAGCAGGGAAGCTGCCCGGCCCTGGGCCTTGCTCGTCCCGCCTCCGCATCCTCTAGGACAGGAGTCCTGACTCCAGCCTCGTGGGGCTGTGGTTAAGAGGGCACCAGTGCGGGGTGTGTAACTGGGTGCGTGCTCTGCGGGTGCACACTTCTGGGGGTGCTGCAGGGGGTGCAGGCAGAGGCCGTGTCCTCTGTGGGCTCAGGGGTGGGCGGTGGCTCACGTGACCAAAACACACCCTGTAGAAAAGGGTTTGAGAGAGGATCAGTCTTACTCTGGCCTAGTGCAGAGATTCTTGTTAGACTTAAAATGAGGGGTTGACAGCTAGCACTGTGAATCAGCCCATGTCTCTCTCTTTCTTCCCTCCTTTTTCCCTTGCCATCTCAGCACTGGGAAATTTGGTGCCTGCTTTATACCAGGACTCTGTAAGCAAAGCGATCTAACTTTGTACGCATCCCGGCCTGGGCTCCGGCTGTGGAAGGCTGACATCCACGGGACTGTCCAGGCCACGTTTATCTTAAAAGACGTCTTCGCCGGAGGAGTCAAGCCTTTCGAGCTTTATCCACGCCTGGACTCTGCCGCGCGGGGAGGGTGCAGCTCACCTGAGAAGCACTTGGGGCTCGTGTCGTGTTTCTTCCAAGAAGGTTGGGTGTTGAGTTGGAATGAATACAGTATTTACCTTCTGGACACTGTCAACCAGGTGAGCCAAGTGATGGTAGCGCAGCTTGGTGTCTAGAGGCAGGAGGGTGTGTGTAGACCTCTGCCTCCCCTCTTCTCAGAGGGTGGGACAGTGTGGGTCCTGCGCGCTGTCTTTCCCAGTGAGCTAGTCACGGAAACCAGGTGAAGGTTTGGTGGTTTTTGTAGATTTGAAAAAATATTTGGTTTAAATATTTGTAGTCCTGTCCCCTGCTAAGACAGTGTATGTGTGTTATTTAAGCAGAAAAGTAAATTTGTTCTTTATTTCTTTGGATCATGTGTTTTATGGCTACCAAATTACCGTGAGCGTAATGAAACGAGATCAGACCTCACACATAACAGAGTGAGACAGGGACTCGGTGCCCAAGGTCTCCCCAGGGTGCGGCTGAGCACGCAGAGCCTCTGGCTTTCTCCCTCTTGTGCCTTGTTTCTCCTCCCAAGTGGAGCCACTTCATTCTGCCATTTCCCCAACTTTACTTGATGATGTGTTTGGACAGCTTACCAGCATTATCAAATCATGGTTGGAAACAATTTCTGTTTAAAGTAGGGTGATGAGATTATTGCCAATAGAGATTGCTTTAGGAATTTTTTTTTAAAAAAGAAACTGTTCAGTTTCAGTGTATTCTTTGTTTTAAAATTTTATTTATTTGTAGTTGCACTAAGTCTTTGTTGCGACATGGGGCACGGTGGCTTGGGGAATCGCCAAAGTGCCTTTTAGCCCTGAGTTTCTCTTCTTAAGGAACATTTTGAAAGACATTTTTGTATTCTTTGCCAGATCTAGAGAACACAGCTTTTCTTTTTTCTTTGGGTACTATTTGAACATAATGTGTACTTACTAGTTGGTGGGGTCAAGGTATTCTATAATTGTACATGAGTTTCTCTCTTCTGAACACTTACCCAAAGCTTTCCCCAGTAGGTGTAATTAACTTCATTTTGTAGGTGGAGAAGTGGAGCCAGAGAGGTGGGTCATGCACAGTCTGAACGTGATAGCGCTATTGGAAGCTTTCAGACGCTGCCAGGATTAGTTAGGGATCAGCAAAGGACTTGGGCCCATTTTCTCCTCTGCCTTGAGCTAGTCTCCTGTTTGCTGTTGAGTGAGAAGCAAGAATGTTTTTCAGTCAGTGAGGGCTCAGGGTTGTCCTGTGTTTGGGGTGCTGTTGGCTTTCCGATGGCGTTGGGGGAGTCCTGTCTCCCTCCTCATTCATTCACAACTGCGACTCGCAGTACCTGCCTGGCCTCTGCCGTGGGAATCCACACGGTATGCGCCCTAGACCTGCTAGCCCAGGAGGGCTGGGCCGGGCAGGGCTTTGTGTAAAGGGCTGTGAGCTCTGAGAGTCCTGGGCCTTTCTGAGGAGGGCCCGCTTGTCAGGGACACTTCCCAAGGAGGGGGCGTCTGAATCGAGCTGAAAGTCCCCGTGAGCAGGGCCAGGGAGAGAATCCGAGTGGAGGGCATGGCGCCAGGAGGGTCAGGGCCAGGTTCCGGGCTGGCCAGTGGGTGCGCCTGTGGCAGGGCGGGCAGGGAGCGACTTCAGGCTCAGTCCCGGAAAGGTCCTGACGGGTACTCAGTCACCATCTGTTGGGTATTACCTCACTTTGGGTTGAATTACTCCAAGTTTCAGAAGTCATGATAGCAAGCAGCAGCTATTTGACTTCTTTGGATTCCAACACATGCTTGTACGGTTTGAGCTATTACTATTGCCTGGTTTTGTGGTTTTCTTTTTCTGGACAGGCCACCATTGCTGGTTTGGAAGGATCAGGTGATATTGTGTCTGTTTCCTGCACAGAAAATGAAATATTTTTCTTAAAGGGAGACAGAAACATTATACGAATTTCAAGCAGGCCTGAAGGACTAGCATCAATAGGTTTGTATTTGTTATAAAATGTATTTGTTACAAAACTTTGTTATAAAATATATATAATTAAAGTTTATAATGTAGAAAACTTACCACTTTTATTTTCATTAAGTGATTGTAATTTTATCTATAGATAAGGAGCTATTCAGAGGGTATCCTTTGATTCTTAAAAAGCGGTTTATGCTCCTTTTCTTGAAAACCACCTACTTTCAGTCCAGGTCTTACATCTGCTGGAATTGTTTCTGTGGGTCTGGAGGGTGGGGGGGTTGGGTGAGTAGGAAGGGGAGCTCAGCACCCACCCGAGTAATCTCCATCTGATGCTCGGAGCCAGCCTGTGGGGTCGATGCATAAGGTTTTTGAACATTGAAGTCTGTCACCTAGGACACATGTTTTTACCTTTAATAATAAGAGCACATCATCTTTCCCTCCGATAACCACAGTTAAACCAGCTTCTTTACCGGTGCGGGACGGTCTGGAGACATCGGTGTGCTCAGAGCAAGTCCATGGGCCGCGTGCAGAGAAGCTGCCGGCGGCCATGCCTTCCGAGACGAGGCTCCGGGGCGCTTCGGTGGCCAGCTCCGTGGCCAGCGAACCCAGGAGCAGGAGCAGCTCGCTCAACTCCACGGACAGTGGCTCCGGGCCTCAGGCAGCCCCCGAGCTGGGCAGGGGCGGCCCGCTCACCTCGAACAGGTTCAGCGTGATCAGCTCGGAGGACTTCGACCAGGAGCTCGTGGTGAAGCCTCTCAGGGTGAAAAAGAAGAAGAGGACGAAGAAGACAGGTACCGTCCGCAGCAGAGCGCGAGGGGCCTCCTCCCTCCGCCAGGGGCCTCCTCCCGCCGCCAGGGGCCTCCTCCCGCCGCGAAGGGCCTCTCACCAGACTTGGGAGGGGGCGGGGGTGCACTGAGGGAACAGGCAGCGGTGTCTGTCCTCCTCAGAGGAGTTTCCCTGTGAAATCTTTATCCGTTATTTAACACAAAGCAGTGAACAGTGATGCAGCTCACCAGCCCTGCTTACAGGTCTGGGTATTGTACTTTTCAATACTTCAGTTAAAAATTTGGTTTATTCATGTATATCATCTATTAGACCAGAGAGTGATGAACTTGGAAGGAAAGCTATGGAAATCTTCAGATGCATCAGTTAATGTTTAGTGTTGGGTATGTCATCAGATACGGGATTTTTTTTTTTTTTTTGGCCGTGCTGTGGTGCTTGTGAGATCTTAGTTCCCCAACCAAGAGATGAATCCAAGCCCTTGGCAGTGAACTCGCAGAGTCCTAACCGCTAAATTGCCAGGGAAGTCCCCAGATACGGGGTTTTTTTTAGAATTAATTAGTTTTGGCTGCACTGGGTCTTTGTTGCCGCACCCAGGCTTTCAAGTGGCAGTGAGTGGGGGTTGTGCTGCACGGGCTGCTTCTTGCAGGGGCTTCTCATCGAGGCTCGCAGGCTCCAGAACTTGACCTCCGGTCATTGTGGCTCGTGGGCTTAGTTGCCTGGTGGCACGTGGGATCTTCCCGGACCAGGAATCAAACCCACAACCCCTGCTTTGGTAGGTGGATTCTTAACCACTGCCACAGGGAAGTCCTGGATGTGGGGTTTAACATGGAATTTTCTTAACTTATTACTCCTTGGTGCCGACTGAGCCTCTCTACTAGAGATTGCTGCAGTATTGAAGGAAAATATTATCAGATGCCTTAATATCTTAATAACTTTAAAAAATTGTTCTGTGATCCCTTTGTTCCTTTGTTCTTGCTTAGTTAACATTTATTGAAGGAAGCCTCAGAGCCCATCATGTGTACAGTATTTGCATCCATTTAAAACACCTCTGAATTGGGACAGTTTGTACTTGAGAGATTTATCCATCAACAATTACAGCTCCTTCATTTAAGATGTTTTTTTCTTAAGCCAAGTTTTTGTTTTTTAGTTCGCGTCTTGCCCCTTGTGTGGAGTCCTACCTAATCTTAACCGTTCTTGTTTCAAGTAGAAGGCGGGAGCAGCACCGCGGGCCCCAGCTCCCTTGAGTCGACCCCCGGCTGTGAGTTTCCTGGGGACAGCCCCCAGTCCGTGAGCATGGACCTGCCATCCATGGCCTCCAGCTTGGGCAGCATCATGGACCGGTCCAGCACAGGGTCTCCTGACCAGGAGAGCAGTCTCAGCAGGGAGGCCGCTGGTGTGCTGCCAGAGTTTAGCGACTCCGAGGCATTCAGTGTCCTGGAGGTGCCCCTGCCTGCCCCTGACCTGCTGAACCGAGGCAGTGACGGGAGAGCTGAAATCCCCTTGGGCGACGGCGAGGGCGGGACAGAGCCGCCCGCTGGGGCGGTGAGCTCCTCCTGGTGCCTGCCGGAGCACATGGAGAACTCTGAGGACGTCGTGGAGCTGGAGGAGGAGCCTCATCCTGCAGATGGTGGGCCGGGTGGTGCGGCGGAGGCCCGAGGGGAGGGGGCCGTGCAGCCTGATGGCCTCCCGGGCGCTTTCTCAGAACCCTGCATCCTGGACTCGGCACCGGTGCCTTCCCACCTCAGCTGGGCCCCCAGTGCAGAGCAGCAGCTTCCGGGGGCCACGGCTGACGAAGGCAGAGCTGAGGAACCTCCTGAAGAGCAGGGCTTCCTGACGCACGTGGGAGCCCCCCACCACCTCAGCCTGAGTCCCCAGCACGCTGCTCCTGACGCTGACACGGGCCAGACGGCGGTTGTCACTTCCGAACATGACCTGGGCGGGGGAGGCCAACCGCCTCCCTGGGCCTCGGCCTCAGCAGCCGGTGCCCAGGAGCAGCCCCCCCGGGACCAGGTGCTGACCTCCAGCGACGAGGAGGACATCTATGGCCACGGGCTGCCCTCTTCATCCTCGGAGACGAGTGTGACGGAGCTGGGAGGGGACCGCTCCCTGCAGGACCTGAGGCAGCTGGGCGCAGACGACCCTGGGCTGCTCAAGGCCGACCAGGTACAAGGGCTCCTTAAGGGAAGTCACAGGCTAACTGACACTGGGAAGGAGTGAGGCTCCCACTGTCAACCCTGTGAGCCAGGTGTCAGGAGGCCCAGATTTGAGGGGACTTCCAGCACAGGGATCTGAAATGGCTTGGGCTCCTGCTGACCTGTCGTTCCCAACCAGTGGCCGACAGGCGCGGCCTCTCACCGTCGATTCTGACCCGGGAGGGCGGCCCCGCATGGGCACCTGCAGCTCATCGTCCCGGAGAGCAGCTGGGCGGGCCTGGGGCCACTCCAGGAGCCCCGTGGGCAGAGGCCTGGCCCCTCGTGGAGGAGGAGGTGCGGAGCAGGCTGGAGGCCGGGACTCCCCGCCTGCCTCTCCTCAGACACACGTCTGTGACTCAGCGTCGGTGCCAAGGCATGACCGGTGTAGAAGGGAGCTTCTCCCTACAGGACCCGAGGCGGCCGGGCACGGACAGCCCTGGGCTCCAGGCGCAAGAGCGTCAGTCGTCTGGGTCCCCGGGCTCCAGGGCACAGGCTCAGTAGTTGTGCCGCATGGGCTTAATTGTTCCTTGGACGTGGGATCTTCCCGGGTCAGGAATCAAACCCATGTCTCCTGCACTGGCAGGCGGATTCTTTACAGGGAAGCCCAGCCAGTAATTATCATTAGATGTGTTTGGTTTCAGCGCTGTGTATTGTAACTCTTCTTGCTGTGTGGCCATGAGGTGTGGCCTGTGTGGGTGAACTTACAGCCTTCCCCAGACGCCTCTGGAACCTCTGTCCCGCCGAGGCACCGCGTTGGGGCAGCACTCACGGGGGCCAGGGGCCACATTCCACACTTTACAAGTTCAACTCGTTTACTTCTCTGAAAACAAAACCCACGAGCTAGGTGCTCCCATTTCACAGGAGGAAGTGGAGACTCAGACACTTCGTGGGCTTTATCGGGTCAGGTAGCAAGTGGGGCCACGGTGGCCCCAGGGTCCCCTCTCTCAGACTTGGGTGCTGTCTGTCCTGCCTCGAAAGCAAAACGTCCTGCTTACTTGGTTTAAGACAAAGTGCCTTTTCCCTCAGTTTTCTGTGTGTTCACCCTTTCTTGAATGCCTTCAGCTGCCAAGGTCTGTGTCTGGTGCTGGGACGCTGCAGTGCCTGTGACGGGCAGTCCTAGGTGTCACAGTCAGGGAGGAGCCAGACAGTCTGCAGGTCCTCCCAGCTGAGCAGGACTCGTCCCAGCTGAGCAGGACTTGGTCCCAGCTGAGCAGGATCGGGCGCTGGTGATGAGCGCAGGGCGGGAGGGGCTGGCGACAGGGCCCCCACCGGCCCTGGCGTTAGCCAGGCAGCTCTGGCTTGCGCGGTTGGGCTTCTTGGGCAGAACTTTAGAAAGTCCTCGGTGAGAGGGCCCCTGGCACTGTGAGGACCTCACCTGCCTTCACCCAACTCGGCCACCTGGAAAGCCACATTTTGGTGGGTTTCGAGGGGGTAGATAAGGCGTGCCCTGGGGAGCAGGGGCAGCTGACAAGCATTGGGCATCACGCTCTGCAAAGCAGCAAATGTCCTTGTGTGGGTGATTGTGCAAATACATGCGTTTCTTTTGCAGTTTTAGAAAGCTCTTAAAGTACACACTTTATTTAGCTTTGCCTTTTGAAAGACTCCTAGCAGCTGAACCGTAGTCTCCAAAATTCAGTCAGGCAGTGTCCTGGCCAGATGTCCGTCAGCCACAGGGTGGACCGCCCGTTTGTTGACTGCCACAGAACTTTAAAACAGTATCATGAGAAAACAAAGATAGTGGTAGTGCTATTTCTCCTGTAATGATTAGATGTACAAAAAACCAGTCTGCATACAAGTGTGAAGTGAGGCATACCTGTAGAATAATAATGTGAGCCCTGGGTTAGGGAAGAGGTTATAGTATCTACGAAAAAGTGTTTATCCAGGGATGTTGTGGGGTCTTTGCAGGGGACAGCAGCTCCCATCTCACAGTGTTTCTGTTAGAGCTGGTCCAGAGACGGCGGGGCCGGTTTCCGCATGGCTGCTCAGAGGGCCTCTCACAGACACACACACACAGTCACACGTACACAGCCCTTTCAGCTCCACGACTTTAATGCTGGTGCATTTTTCGTATTGCCAAGTGTGGGGCATGTGCAGCTGTGTCTTCTGTTGCCAAGTCAGCAGGCTCTGTCCTTGTCAGTTTGCAGAAAGCTGGATGGGCTACTCCGGGCCCGGCCACGGCATCCTCAGCTTGGCGGTCTCTGAGAAGTACCTCTGGTGCCTGGACTACAAAGGCGGCCTGTTCTGCAGCGCGTTGCCAGGCGCTGGGCTGCGCTGGCAGAAGTTCGAAGATGCCGTCCAGCAGGTGGCAGTCTCGCCCTCAGGTTCGCCCCTGGCTCCCTGCGCCCGGCCCCCTCCCCGCCCCACGCAGCCCGCCGAGCACTCTGTCCAAGCAGACCTGGCCTTTCCTGCAGGTTTTAGGGCTTTTCTCCATGGGACGTGGGCTGCTTCATTTGACATCACTGAAGATTGTGTAAATGCCGTTCAATTTTTAGTTTTTTTTATTAATTGCAGTGGTAACACATGAACATACTCTTGTTAAGTTATACAAATAGCTTGAATTTTGAGGGTATTTTTTAAAGAAATACTAACGTACACACTTCTCATAAGAATAAATGTGTTTCTGTTTCTTAGTGTTGCTTTAAAGCAACTGAACTAATGAAGATGGGCCCATGGATGTGTTGGATAAATTTGAAACATTCGGTTTCTTTCTTAGAAATTGTTTTTTAATGAGCTACACACATCTTTGGGTGAAAAAGCTACTCCTGGGCTGTGAAAATAAAATGCGTTCAGTCCCTTAAGCCGTGATCAGGCCGTTGTTGTCAGTGGTCTGGGACAGAGACTTCCTGGGTGAGGGTCTACCCCTGCCCCCATCTGTACAGAATCTCGTGTTTGTCATAATGTTGGCTGCTCTACCTATATAGGGAGGGAGGTAGAACAAAAATATGTATGTGTATTTGCCTGGTTGTAGCTGGTTTATTAGAACATCAGAAAGGAAGGCAGACAAGACTGAGCTGGTGACTTCTGTTAGAGACTCCCTCCAACTCTCCTGGCCTTTGTCACCATGTAAAATACTAGTTTGTTCAGGGTTGTTTTGTTCTATCTTTTGCTTGTTTGAAAAATATCTTTCCTTAGGGACTAAGATAATCTGTTCCATTAGCTGGCTTTATATAATTGTGCAGTTTAATGCTTTCCCTCTCATTTACCTTTGGGTTCATCTCCCCAGCCAGTTATAAACTTTGGTTCTTTGCTGATTCTGTGAATTACTTTGTGTCTCCACACCATTCAGTCCCTCACCGCTCCTGTGGGAGCTCTGTCTCCACCAGGCTGTGCTCTGGCTGAGCCGTCCTGCAGGGCCCCGACCAGGGTGGGCTCTCCTCCAACCGCGCCTCGCGTCGGACCCTTTGTCCAGCCTGTGTGCTCTTGGTGATGCTGGTGGTTTCTGACACCTTGCCTCAGTCTCCATAGACAGGCTTCCTGTCTGCCTTCCCTCCTGCCCTCCCTGTGTTCTGTTTAGTAGAAGCCTTCTCTAAGTGGAGAAGGGGACAGCCCAGCTCAGGGCGTCCTTTTCCTGCACTGTGTCCCCTTGGCTGGCCCAGAGCTCACCCTGCCCCTTGGAGTCCCGTCGGGCGTTCTCTTTCTTAGGACACTCACTGTGCCTCAGGACGGCCATCCGCGTCCTCACCCGGCACACCAGTGGCGCCGCTCCTCTCCCACGCGGTGCGGGCCCCTGACGCCCGCCCTGTGTGCTGTGTCCTTGAGGCGGCTCCCCTCCTGACGGCCTGCGTGGTGCCGGCAGTCCCCTCCCACACATGAGGAGGCGGCTGAGGGGGCCCAGGGCCCGGGGGCTCGCGCCCCAGCACTGCCCTTCCCCGGCTGGCACAGCAGCAAAGCGGGCATGTTGGAGAAATCGCTCGCCCGCAGCACCCAGAGGCGAATGTAGCGGGTAAGAGTTCTCGGCGCTTGTTGGCCTGTGAATAGAATTTTTATTTCCACAGGCGCCCTTCTTTGGAAGATTGAACAGAAGTCTAACCGAGCCTTTGCGTGTGGAAAAGTGACCATCAAGGGGAAACGCCACTGGTACGAAGCTCTGCCCCAGGCGGTGTTTGTGGCCCTGAGCGATGACACGGCCTGGATCATCAGGACCAACGGGGACCTGTACCTGCAGACAGGTGGCTGCCCCGGGGTGACTGCACTTTGGTGGCGATGTGCTTAGAGGCGGTGACGGAGGGGCTAGATGCAAATCTAAGTTAAAACGTTTCCGGAACATTTGTCATAAGTTTAACATTAAATGCCAACATTTAACATGAGTTAAAACACTTGCCATTGGGATCTATTAGCAGCTTTCTGCTATTCACTCACTTTCAGCCCAGGACATATTTATGGCAGGAATTAATAATTATTTAGAATCTTATAGGGCTAACCATTGCATGTCCCTTTTCCTGTGGTATCAAATCTGAAGAGGAAAGAGTAACGGAGAAATGACCTTACAATCATTTTTTGCTTTAACTCATGACTGAGTTTTTTCAGTCCGGTCAAAGCCCTGCTTCCATATCCTTATTTACACATGGGTCAGGAAAAAACAACAGAAATAATCTGCTCCAAATAGCAGTTTATCTCGTCCTAGGAAACTGCCCTGAGGGGAACCTTTAGCTACTGGAAGAGACTCAGTGGGACTTGTTTATTAAAAATAAACTGTAATGAGAGTCACTGTTTATGTACTGTCAGCAAAACGGGATACGGGTTTCCAAAAGCGACCTGATTTAGCAGTACCTGGAAATGAGTACAGGGCAGGAGCTCTTTTTCGGTTGTCAAGAGGCCCTGTTGGATTTACGTAAAGATGAGTCTTTTGACCATTTAATACTGCTGCCTCCGAGAGGATGTTTGGGAACGGTCAGCCAGGGACAGCTCTGGGACTGGAAGCCCTTTGCACCTGGCTCGCTCTCAGGTGTGGAGGTGCCAGCCTAACAGCAGCTCCTGCCTCAGCCCAGGGGCAGCCCTGCCAGCTTCGGGCCTGTGTGCCCGCCAGTCTCTCCAGCCTGTTCCTGTGGCTTCCTTGAAAGTGAAAAATAGCTGGGAAGACAGGCACGTCCAACTTCCAGAGGCATCTGAATATCTTTCCTGCTGGGGAAAGAGGGCGCTTTGGCCTCGGGGTGAGGAGGGCCTTAGGAATCACCTGGGCAGTGATTTCAGCCCAACTGAGACCCATCCAGAGCTACCAGGTTAGAGTCGCTGGGTTTGGCCTAAGGATTAGTGGTGTAAGAAGTCCGGTAGGTGATTCCCACCGCGTTGAGTCCAAGGAGATGCAGCCCAAGGACTATGATACCGAGGGGCACTCTAGTGATGAGTAGGGACGCGTCAGGGAGTGCAGAGGCCCAGCTGCAGGCCAAGGCGGCGGGTGCAGGGTTAGCAGCAGCTGCTCTGCCAGCCCCCTGAGGAGGGGCCTCGGAGCTCATTAGCTGGGGCTTGCAGGGTCTCCGAGGGCCATGGCCACCGAGTGTGGAGGGCGTCTGTGCACCGGCTCCTCTGGGCCTGGGCCCTCCTGCACTGGACTTTGTGTTCTTTCAGAACTCGTTTAGCTACCTGGGGACACTAGAAGGTCCTGAGTTGTGTTGTTCCAGTTTCCAAAGAACATCCAAACACACTTCAGGTGGACGTTCTATTTAAGCACAATTTAACCATCTTATGTTGACTAAACCTTAAAAAGAGAAAATACTTACTACGAAAGGAAAGGATATAACAATACCAAAAAAGAAAAATAAGCCAGCAACAGGGTGAGAATGGGGAGTGAAATCCTGACAGTGTGTCTCTGGGGGCTTTCCGCCGTCCCCGACAGGTCTCAGCGTGGATCGCCCCTGCGCCAGAGCCATGAAAGTCGACTGTCCATTCCCGCTGTCCCAGGTCACTGCCCGCAACAGTGTGGTGTGGGCGCTGACGGAGCAGCGAGCCCTCCTGTACCGGGAGGGGGTGAGCAGCTTCTGCCCCGAGGGGGAGCAGTGGAAGTGTGACATTGTCAGGTATGCGCGCAGGGCGGCCGCTGTCCGTGTCCTCTCTGCACCGTCTGCTCTCTGTCAGCCTGACGCCCCTCAAGGGACCCGTGTGAGCCTCTCCCAGGCAGAGCTGCTTCCCTGAAGGTTTCCAAGGTCGCGGTGTCCTCCAGGATTGTCAGAGACAACGCCAGCAGCCTGGCCTTGAAGGCATTCTGTGCCTCCCTCTCACTGGCAGACTGAATGTTGGATCAGAGCTTAGTTTTTAAAATGCTGCTACCCTTGACCAACATTCATCTGTGACCTTGAGCCCCACATGCTCGTGGGGTCTCTCGTGATGGTTTTTCTGCAGAACTGCCCAGAGTCAGAAAGTTTCTGTTTAGAGTCTCAGATGACTGAGCCAAATATTTTCCTTTATTATCCTCCTTGTCAGTTGAAATTACCCATGAATTACAGTTTATTTGGTTGCTTTCTACCAGTCAAACTTTTCATTGCACAATTACTGTCAGATCATTTTTCTAGTGTGAGGTTATTAGTAGTCCTTAGAAAAGTTAGATTAGGATATTCATGGTTTGAGTTTAGCATCCCAGGAAACTTGAGTGAGCTCCTGTTGAGAGCTGGGGGCGGGGCTGGGCTGAGCGTGTGAACGTGACCCTGCCCTGGCCTCAGAGCTCCTGTCTGGGGGAACCACCGCCTGTTGGTGTAGACGGTCCCGAGCTGGACAGGGACATGCCTCACAGGGGCACCCCGGCCCCCCTGCAGAGGTCAGGGAGGCGCCAGGCAGCTCAGCCCTGAAGCTGCCGGGGACGTCACCAGATGGCAGAGGGAGGGTGTTGTCTGCCGAGAGGGCGGGTCTGCCAGGCTGCTGCTGCCCCGCACAGCCTGGCGCTGGGGGGTTTCTGTTCACTTAATTGGTGGAGGCAGGGGTGGGGCGATGGAGCACGCAGGTCCAGCATCCCCCACACGCCTGTGCTTCTTCCTGGGTTGTCTCCTCTAAGGAGAGCTCCCCACCGTCCTGGGCCTGCAGGGTGCCCCTCAGGTCCCACTGCTTGTCTGAACGGTACATACTGCACAGCCATTGAACTCAAGCTTTCTTCCTTGGAACTGGCGGGTGGGGCTCATCTCTTGTCCCACACCGAGCCCCCCTTCTCCGACACTTGATGTCAGCGTCCCAGACACGCTGGGGGGCCAAGAACCTGGGTGTTGACTCCATGCTCTTGTCCTCGTTTCCAGTGAGAGGCAGGCTTTGGAGCCCGTCTGTATAACTCTCGGGGACCAGCAGAGCCTGTGGGCCCTGGACATCCGAGGAAACCTGTGGTTCCGGACTGGCATCGTTTCCAAGAAACCCCAAGGAGATGACGACCACTGGTGGCAAGTAGGTGTTCAGCCCGGGGCCGCGCCAGGCACCTCCCACTTAGCACCCCGCCCTTCTCCTCAGGGGCTTGGAGAGCTCGGGTTAAACCCACAGTGCTCACTTCTACTGTTGGATGAGCTGTGCGTGCTCAGTCGTGTCTGACTCTTTGCGACCCTGTGAACTCCATGAAATTTTCCAGGCAAGAATGCTGGAGTCAGTTTCCATTTCCTTCTCCAGGGGATCTTCCTGACCCAGGGATCAAACCCACATCTCCTGCTTGCAGGCAGATTCTTTACCCCTGAGTCACCATTAGAGCACATTAGGAGTATCGGGGCTTTTATCACAGAAAGTAACTTGGAATGCTCTTTTTACCTAAATATACTGGCTTTGTTTATTTATTTTAATTTTGGTGTTATTTAGAAATTTGATATTACACGCTAAATAAAACCTAGTGACATCCATCTGAAGACCTAGGTAATACTAATATTTTTCTCTGAAAGAATGTACTAAGAAAAGAGATTAGGTAATAGGTGTGAGAAAACCAACCCACAATTAAAACTCACTATCTCTGCTTGTACAGAAGGCCTATAAATAAATGGTATTTGAACAAAGAAAAGGGGAATTTTCCCAGAAAAGTAAACACTGACAAATAGTGTGGTATAATCAAGCTCTCTCTGCCCCTCTGGCATCAGTCAGCTTAGACGTGTCGCCTGCAGTCCCCAGCATGGTGGGTGGAGCTGCGTTCACGCCGTGGGGCGCGCATGGGATCTTCCTGCCCGGGCCCCGCTGGCTCAGGTGCCGTCCCGCAGGCCAGTGTCGTCGAGGGCAGGTCTTCCCGTGGCTGCTTTTAGGTCTTTCAGATGAGCGTGTGGAAGAGGAAGTTGTGTTTGGTCTCCACCTCTAATTTAATATGTCAGGTGCTATTTGAAAAGTTATACAAATGATTCAAAAATACTCTGTGTATTTGTAACCATATTACATGGTTTTACACACACACACAGTGTATACATGTACTAAATTCTGTGTTTAAGTAGCCTAAAGAAAGCTAGATACCATCTTATCATAGTATTCAGAACATTATCTTCAGAGAAATTTGACAGAGTCATTGCTAGGATATTTGGAAGCAGAGCTGTTTTAGTTACTATAGGATTGATTGTTCTGTAGGGCTCGAGTCAGTGTTATGTTTGGCCATTAAACCGTTCTTTTCTATTTTTTTTTAACTTGCATCCTACTTATCGGCCAAGCCTGGTGCTGGGACTGAACGTGTCCCAGGCTTTCCGTGTGGCCTGGCGCCATACCCCATGAGGAAGGGCAGTGGTCCCCGGGCTGTGCCTGGCCTCCTGTGGGCTCTGGCAGAGTCTGCCCGGCCAAGCTGGCATGCGCTCTGCCCATTAGAGAGAAAGAGGCCACAGGCTCTGCAGCTAACAAACAGCATTTGCTTGAACCTCGGTGCAAACAGCAACTCGCAGTCAGCCTGAGTTCCATCACCGTGAGGAAGAGCTGTGTGTACACACAGAGTGCAGTGCTGATTTTATAGCTGCTTCCGTTGCATTTGTTTTGTTTATTACACGTGAGATTCCCTGTCAGGAGTGATTTCACGTCACTCAGCATTTTGTTGTGCGTGACCTGGGAGTGTGGCCTGCACGAGGCCGTCCTAAGGGTGGGGCCATGACATCTGTCATTAAGTCCACCAGGGCAGACAGGCTGGGGAAGCCGCGCACTCAGAGAGCTGTACAGCAGCCGGAGCTGCCCAGCCAGGGGGGGTTTCCTTAGACGGTGGAGCAAGGCCTCTTTCAGGAAAGTGCGAGGAGCGCGTCTGGAGCCCGAGCCCAGGTGTGCCCTGCACGTCCAGGACAGGCCTAGTCTGTGCTGCCGTTCCGGCATGGTCACCAACAGTGCCAGCGAGGTCAGGGCCTCCCTGGTGCCTCAGACGGCGAAGCGTCTGCCTGCAGAGCGGGAGACGGGTTTGGTCCCCGGGTCGGAAGGACCTCTGGAGAGGCGTGGCTTCCCACCCCAGTATCTTTTTTGATTGTGCTGGGTCTTCATTGCTGCACTGGCTTTTCTCTCGTTGCAGAAAACAGGCTTCTCATTGCAGTGGCTTCTCTTGCTGTGGAGCGCGGGCTCTCGGTACACAGGCCTCAGTAGTCGTGGCTCCTGGGCTCTAGAGCACGGGCTCGGGGGTTGTGGCGCACGGGCCTAGTTGGCTCTGAGGCACGCAGGTTCTTCCCGGATCAGGGCTCAAAGCCACGCTTCCTGCGTTGGGAGGCCGATTCTTTACCACTGAGCCACCGGGGGAGCCCCCACGCCAGTGTTCTTGCCTGAAGAATCCCGTGCACAGAGGAGCCTGGCGGGCTGCAGTCCGTGGGGTTGCAGAGTCAAACACAACTGAGCGGCTGACACGCTTACGTCCCTGTTAGGTCATGAATCACTCCGTCACTCTGCCTCCACTACCCTTTTAAAAACCATGTTATGATTCTAAGTATTGTACCGGTTGTCCTTTGGAAATTTAAAACAAAATAATCCTGTCTTACCGATTTAGAATAAAAGACTTACGGGGTGCGGCGGGGTGATATTTAGTCATAAAAGGAATACACGCTTGTAAGAGGCGCATGCGGTAGAAAAGTATGTAAACTACAAGGCAGATGTTGGCATCCCCCTGAATCGACCCCTTGGAGGTAATCGCAGTCAGCAGCAGGGCTGTCCCCACACCTGACCCCAGTCCTCACCCAAGCGCACGCGCGTGGGGGTGGGGGCGGGGCCTTGGCTCTCAGGCCGCGAGCATACAGGAGGCGCTTGTGACTGCACTGAGAGCGGGGCGCATCCCCGTCCCCCTCCAGGTGAGCATCACGGACTACGTGGTGTTCGACCAGTGCAGCCTGTTCCAGACCATCATCCACGCCACGCACTCGGTGGCCACAGCGGCCCAGGTGCCCGTGGAGAAGGTGGCGGACAGACTTCGCACAGCGTTCTGGTCACAGCAGCTGCAGTGCCAGCCGAGCCTGCTGGGCGTCAACAACAGCGGCGTCTGGATCTCCTCGGGCAAGAACGAATTCCACGTCGCTCGAGGGAATCTCATCGGTGGGTGAATTACTTCCAAGTCAGCTTGATGGGCAGCTCCACTTAGAGTCAGCATTTAAAGCTCAGCTTTAAGATCTCCACTTGAAAAGACCATTCAGGCCAGTGGTATGCAGTGTGTGTGATGGAGGCATTCTCTATGCTCTATCAGTGTCCTTTTTTTCGTCTGTCATTCCTACAACTTGGATATATGTGTCTACCTGGTATGTCATCAGTTTCCACTAGGGATGTCGTAGGATATAAGGAGAGCACATGGAGCTTGTTTTTATGTCAGTAATTTCCATTTAAATGAAAAAATCCTCTCATACTTAGAGTCTAGTGAGAGAATAGTCTGTTTCTAAGAGGGAAAATTATCACACCATGGAAGATGTGAGGCTCTGGCCAGATCTGTAAACAGAGGCATAAATGCTCGCGTGCCGCCTGGGGCTTCGTTTCTGTGAGTGAACCCTGCTCGGCGGGTCTCCTCCGGCTCGTCTCCCCCAGGTGGCCTCCCCGCCCTGGGCAGGACTGCAGCTCTGCCCGTTGGGCTGGCTCTCGCAGTGCCAGCTTTGATCTCCAGCGTTAAGGGCCCTCCAGAACCAGCTGTGAGGGGTTTTGAAGACCAGTTGAGGCCTAGAACTGAAGCTCTGAAGCGTTCTGAAGTTCCTCTTTCTTTAACACACTCTTCCCTTATTCTTCCCAGGCACTTACTGGAATCATGTTGTTCCCCGGGGGACTGCCTCTGCCACAAAGTGGGCCTTCGTGTTGGCGTCCACTGCCCCCACCAAGGAAGGTGGGTTGGGGTGCCATTGAATGGTTACATCCATGGTCTGACGTGGTCGAGTTGGGGTGGGAGCCTGGCCATGGTGGTGTCATGGGCGAGGGCCCCCGAAGCTGGACAGGAGAGAAGGGCCTGGTGTGGGGTGCTGAGGAAGTCTGGAGGCGAGGCTCCTTCTGAAGGCCGGGCGCGTCCAGTGTGGCTGCGGAGGCTGGCAGCTGGTACTGCTGCAGCATGTCTCGGGGCTATAGCACAGGCCAGTCAGCACCAGGCTTGGTCCGGGTGCCAGGCCGTCTCCCCTGTGATCCTGGTATACGGCGCCTGCTGGCCTCAGTCCCACCGTCCCCCTGGCAGGCAGGCCTCCTGAGTCCACTCAGAACTCAGAGCCCCTCCTGCAGTTCAGGGCAGTCAGGTGGCCCTGCTGGCGGCCGAAGTATCCGCCCAGGATGGTACCGAGCCCAGCGAGACGACGCCGTGAGCCTGTGGTTCAGAGGGAGTGGCTGCGAAGTCCAGCCTGTAGCCGCCAGAACGTCGAGGATTCGGTCAGTGCAGCAGAGTCTTCCCTCGGGATGGTCTGACCATGGTGCCGAGGGAGAGAGCTCTGACCACCACAGGCATCCTGAATGCAGCCGCGAAGCTGAGCTGAGCTGACGGGAGGCCCCTCCCGCCCTCATCCGTCCTGCGGGTCGTGACCGGGACACTGCATTGTAGAAGCCTCACTGCACTGCCTGGGTTGGGGGTGGTGGGGTGGGGGGGTTACCAACTGACTCCTCGGGGCTGTTAACTTAAATATCTGGCATGGCCATGACCTTATGGTTTCAAAATCCAAAAAAAATTTAATTTCAAACTACCTGGCCCCAGGTTTTAAATAATATATTCTGACTGAGATTTTAAAACTTTCTCAAGTGTGGTTTGCATTTTAAAGTGAGTTAAACCTCAAGGACTCTAAATAATTGGAGAGAATGAAAGCATGTAATTTGGGGGTGAGGAAGGGGAGAAGATGCTTCCTGGCATTCTGGGCCTCCTCCAGCAGCCTCACCCCACCACCTGCCTGTCACCCGGGCAGAGGCTCCTCAGTGGCGTACTGCCAAGGAGTCGCCAAGCTTGCTTCCTCGGGACCCTGGCCAACACACCACGTTGAAGCCTTCCCGGTTCATTATGGAACATCCAAGCTCTGGGCCACTAAGCCAGTGACGTGGGCTTCCGAGATCTGATTTCTTTTGTTTCTTCTGAGTGTGTCGGGCTGGCTTCCTGGTCACTGGCCGCTCCTGCCCCGCGGAGGGGAGCGAGGGTGGGTGCCAGGGCGGGGCCTCATGGTAATGCTGTGACCTCTCCGCAGGAAGCTCTCTGTGGCTGTGCCAGAGCAGCAAGGACCTGTGTCGTGTGAGCGCCCAGCACGCCCAGTCCCGCCCGTCCACCGTGCAGCTGCCCCCCGACGCCGAGATGAGGGCCTATGCTGCCTGCCAGGATGCCCTGTGGGCGCTGGACAGCCTCGGCCAGGTGTTCATCCGGACGCTGTCCGCCAGCTGCCCCACGGGCATGCACTGGGCCCGGCTGGACCTCTCCCAGCTAGGTAGGCCGCCCGCACCGCTGCCCCGCCCTCCTTCAGCTGCGTTGAGAGGGGACGCCCGACCTGCCTCCTGGGGCCCTGTGTTCAACCACATGACTTCTTGGAGGCCTCTCGGCCGCTCACTAGATTTCGGGAGGCCGATTAGCCGCTCTTGCAGGTTAACGGGCCTCCTGAGGGTCTTGTGAGGAGCTTCTCCTCCCCGCCCCGCCCCAGGTTGCAGGGTCCAGGACCCAGGAGGAGCGTGTCCCAGAGAGGGGCCAGGAGAGCCGCTCCTGCCCATCCTGCAGTGTGGCCGCCTCTGCCACTCTGTGCCTGTCCAGTCTGGGCGCCGGGGCCAGGCCCGCGGCCGGGGCAGCCCTCCTCCCCCCGCTGCCTGGGGTGTGCGGGTGCCCGCGCGCTCGGAGTGTCCCCGCCAGGGCAGCAGCCTGATGCTGCTTGTGAGTCATTCCCATTCTGGGATTAAGAGAGTGAGCCGCACCTTCAGGTCATCCTCCGGGCAGAGTGTCAGGTGTGCCTGTCAGGAGGCCAGGCTCCCCCAGCCGCTCCAGGGCCCATGTGAGCCTTAGGAATACTTCCCTGTTGAACAGGTTCCCACCTGGTGAACTGACAACCAGTATTCTGTTTGTTAGGCGATAGACCTGAATTTTACAAGCATTTAACGTTTGAGAATTCAGCCACATGTTCTCATTTAACAAATAAAAAGGAAGGACAAGAAAGCGAGAAAGGAGGTAGGGGCATTGTCCGCCTCCCACCCCGGCAGCCCTCGCCTCGCCTCGCCTCCAGCCGGCGGCCCCCATCCCATGACCGGCGGCCCCCATCCCATGATGTGCAGGCGCCGCTGTTATTTGGCCCCCCACGAGGCTCCCGGTGTAATCAGCTTAGCTGGAGAAGTAGCTTGGTTCTCAGCTGAAGCAGCAGCAAGCTTTGTTCCAAAGCTAGGAGTTCTCCAGGGTCATTTTGATTGTTTGTGCTTTGGCCTCTCAGTGGTTTGAACCTAAGCCCTGCACCAGGGCGGGTCGAGGTCCAGCCAGCAGAGCGCTCACCCGCCGCCACCCCCGGCGAGGACCAGAGTGGCTGCGCTGGCCGTGCTCCTGCCTGCGCTGTGGGGCGCCCTCCTGCCTGCCCTGGGACACTTGGGTTGGGTCCGACCCTGCTGGCCTGAGCCTTCTTCCATCAGCCCCAACCAGGCCAGCTTGGGAGTTTCTGGAGGCAAAAAGGTGAGCACGAGGTTTGTGTTCTCCTTGCTACAGAGTCTTGAGAGCAGTGGGAGGCTGCACCCTCGCCCCGTCTGAGTCAGAAGCAGCGCTCGTCTTTGTAGAGAGGCCACTGTGAGCGCAGCGTGAGAGGTTGTCAAGCCTGGCTCCACTGTGGAACCAGCCCTGCCGGGCCTCCCTCCCAGTTCAGGCCAGTCCTCCGCAGTGGTTCTCTGGCCGGCGTGTCACAGGTCTCAGAGCTGCCCACCTGGGTTTCCCTGGAGTTGGTGGCTGTTCCATCGAGGGAAGAAACTCAGCTTGGTGGCAGGGGTTGAGTCTCAGTTCAGAGTGGGAGCCCACCGACAAGACCGTCCTGAATTCAGGCTGCACTTCCTTCCCAGCCTGAGGAGGGCAGGGGCTCATGGAGCTGCCCTTCCCCTTGTCAGCAGAAGCGTCTGGAATCCAGCCGGGGCTGGAATGGGTCACAGATGGCCCGTGCAGGTGGGCGAGCTGAGACGTGGGGGCTCACAGCAGCAGGAGCTGCGCTGGCTGTGTGCAGAGCTGGGCCCTGCGCGAGTTTCCGGGTCACCTTGAAACCTCTGCTCCCACCTTTGTAATAGTAACAGCATCCCCACCCCAGACGGAGACTGCAAGTAAGCATCCCGTGTGAACGCTCACTCTCCCAGGCAGGGGTGACGGCTGCTGGGGGGTGTGGGGTGGGGGACGTGATTCCAGGAAGCTCCGCTTTTTTGGTTTTTATCCTGCCTGAGCTCTGAGTTTATTTACCTGAGTTACTGGCTGATACTGAGATGATAGATGAAGACCCTTTCACCATTTTCTGAGCATCCTGGGGGACGGCAGCAGCATGCCCAGAGTTGGGAGACAGGGGAGGTGTGCGGGGAGCCGCTAGGGATGCTGGGCCGGGGTGGGGGCAGCAGAAGGCTGCTCGGGCTGCCGGCTCCTCTGTCACTGGGCTCTCTGCAAGGCTAGGCTGTGGAGCCTGTGGAACAGCGAGTTTTTAATCGGGGTTTCCAGAATTATTATTTAGAGTAGGAGATGCAGATTCTGAATTCAGGTGTGTGCTCCCTGCCCAGACTCCCGTCTGCGTGTCCGTGGCAGACAATCGTCAGGCAGCTCTGCTGAGCCTCAGGAAACGGCGTGTGGTGATGCGGATGCTGTAGGTGCTGCCTGGCTTGCACACCTGGGCTGGCCTGGGATGCTCCACGTTCTTTTAACAGCTGGCTGTGGTGGTGCTCACGGCAGGGAAAGGAAGCACAGCCTTGCAAGCCCATGGTTTTGCATATGAGGATTCTGTTCAGTAGCAGCTTCTCTTTCCCAAATGCACTTTTTTTTTGGTAGTCACCCTATGGTATTATATTAACCTCAGATGTACAGTATAGTGATTCAGTATCTTTTTATAGATCACACACCATACAGAGTTGTTATCGACTATGAAATGCCGACTGTGTTCCCCGTGCTGCACATCACATCTTTGTTGTCAATTTGTTTTGTAACTGGTAGTTTGTACCTCTTAATCCTCTTCACCTGTTCTGCCCCCCTTCCCGACCCCACCCCCATCTGGTAACTGCTAGTTTGTTTTCTGAATCTGTGAGTCTATTTCTGTGTTATTACATTTGTTCATTTGTTTGGTTATTTATACTCCACATTTAAGGGGTTCCCTGATAGCTCTGTTGGTAAAGAATCCACCTGCATTGCAGGAGACTCCAGTTCAATTCCTGGGTTGGGAAGATCCCCTGGAGAAAAGGGGTAGGCTACCCACTCCCGTATTCTTGGGCTTCCCTTGTGGCTCGGCTGCTAAAGAATCCACCTGCAATGTGGGAAACCTGGGTTTGATCCCTGGGTTGGGAAGATTCCCCTGGAGAAGGGAAAGGCTACCCACTCCAGCATTCTAGCCTGGAGAATTCAATGGTCTGTATAGTCCTTGGGGTCACAAAGAGTCGGACACGACTGAGTGACTTTCACTTTCACTTATAGGTGAACCACATGGTATTTGTCTTTCTCTGACTCTTTGACTATGTTTGACACTCCCCAGATCCATCCACATGGCTGCAGATGGTGCGGTTTCATTCTTTTTCCTGGCTAACACTCCCCGTGTATATGTACCGCGTCTCCATCTGTGCCTCTGCTGATGGATACTCAGGTTGCTTCCACATCTTGCTGTTGTGAATAGTGCTGCTGTGAACAGCTTGATGAGGTGCATTTATCTTTCCAAATTAGTGTTTTCATTTTTTTTCTTTCAGATGAATACCCAGGAGTGGAGTTGCTGGATCATATGATAGTTCTGTTTCTAATTTTTTGTGCAGTATTACTGTTTTCCACAGTGACTATACCAATTTACATTCCCACCGACAGTGTACTAGAGTTCCCTTTTCTCCACATTCTTGTCAATACTTGTTATCTGTTGTCTTTTTGATGGTGGCCATTCTGATTGGTGTGAGGGGTAATACCTCATTGTGGCTATGGTTTGCATTTTCCTAATCATTACTGATGTTGAGCATCTTTTCTCATGCCTGTCGGCCATCTGTATGTCTTCTTTGGAAAAATGTCTATTCAGGCCCTTTCTCCTTTTTTAAATTGGATTGTTTATGTGATTTTTAGTTGTATGAGTAGTTTATATAGTTTGGATATTAACTCCTTATCAAACGTCATTTGCAAACATCTCCCATTTAGTTATCGTTGTTGTACAGTTGCTAGGTTGTGTTTGACTCTGTGACCCCACAGACTGCAGCGCACCAGGCTGCCCTGTCCTTTCCTGTCTCCCAGAGTTTGCTCAAATTCACACCCGTTGAGTCAGCGATGCTATCTAACCATCTCTTCCTCTGCTCCCTCCTTCTCCTTTTGCCTTCAGTCTTTCCCAGCGTTAGGGTCTTTTCTAATGCTCTTTGCATTAGGTGGCCAAAGTATTAGAGCTCAGCTTTAGCAACAGTCCTTCCAATGATCAGGCTTGATTTCCTTTAGGATTGACTGGTTGGATCTCCATGTAGTCCAAGGGACTCTCAAGAGTCTTCTCCAGCACCACAATTTGAAAGCATCAATTCTTCAGTTCTCAGCCTTCTTTATGGTCCAATTCTCACATCCATACATGACTACTGGAAAAACTATGACTTTGACAATATGAATCTTTGTCAACAGAATATATTTGCTTTTTATTTTGCCATCTAGGTTTGGATTGCTCTCCTTCCAAGGAGCAAGCATCTTTTAATTTCATGGCTGCAGTCACCATCCGCAGTAATTTTGGAGCCCAAGAAAATAAAGTTTGTCACTGCTTCCACTTTATCCCCTTCAGTCCGTTCAGTTCAGTCATTCAGTTGTGTCCAACTCTTTGTAACTCCATGGACTGCAACACACCAGGCTTCCCTGTCCATCACCAACTCCTGGAGCTTACTCTAACTCATGTCCATCAAGTCATAATGCCATCCAACCATCTCATCCTCTGTCGTCCCCTTCAGCTCCTGCCTTCAATCTTTCACAACATCAGGGTCTTTTCCAATGAGTCAGTTCTTCGCATAAGTTGGCCAAAGTATTGGAGCTTCAGCTTCAGCATCAGTCCTTCCAATAAATATTCAGGACTGATTTCCTTTAGGATTGTCTGGTTGGATCTCCTTGCTATCCAAGGGACTCTCAAGAGTGTTCTCCAACACCACAGTTCAAAAACATCAGTTCTTTGGTGCTCAGCTTTCTTTATAGTCCCAACTCTCACATTCATACATGACTACTGGAAAAACCATAGCTTTGACTAGATGGACCTTTGTCAGCAAAGTAATGTCTCTGCTTTTTAATATGTTGTCT